GTTAATAACACCAATCTACTTTCTATGTCCAAATTCTTGGTTGAGGTTGGGCGTGAAAAATTAGTTTATGCTTTAATGCCTCGTGAAAATAGTACAGCGAATGTGGATTCAGAATTACCAGTAGAAGTATAGCAACTACTGATGGAGTTTTCTTACTTGATGCCGGAGGATCTTCCTCCAAGATTACTGCCTATGAGGGACATTCAATATCAGATCGACCTTATTTTGGGGTCGAGTTTACCAAACCGATCGGCATATCGCTTCAGTCCCAAGGAAGCTGAAAAGTTGCAGTGACAAGTGGTAGAATTATTGGAAAGGGGCTACATTCGTGAGAGTATAAGTCCTTGTGCAGTTCCTGCTATACTAGTGCCGAAGAAAGATGGGTTATGGCATATGTGTGTTGACAGCAGGGCAATTAACAGAATTATAGTGAAGTACAGGTTTCCAATTCCCCGCCTGGACAACATGTTAGATCAATTGTCCAGTTCTAAGGTCTTCTAAAAAATTGACCTTAAAAGCGAACACCACCAGATCAGAATCAGGCCTGGAGATGAGTGGAAGACCGCATTCAAGACACAACATGGATTGTACGAGTGGATGGTCATACACTTTGGACTATCCAACGCACCCAGCACTTTTATGAGGTTTATACATGGGGAAGATTGTGGTAGTCTATTTTGACGACATACTTATTTATAGTCCGACATGGGAGTCACATTTTAATCATCTTCGTGCTGTCTTTGATGTAATAAAGACCGAGCGCTTATTCATCAATCAGAATAAGTGTTCTTTCTTCACAACTTTGATAACTTTTTTGGGTTTTGTTGTGTCTACTGATGGTGTTCATGTAGATCAATCTAAAATTGAGGCAGTCTTGTATTGGCCCAAGCCAAAAACTTTGTACGATGTCAGGAGTTTCCATGGATTGGCATTCTTCTATCGTCGGTTCATCAGAAACTTTAGTACCTTGATTCTCCTATCACAGAGTGCCTTAAAGGGCATGATTTTTAGTGGATTGAGGAGGAAGAGACTAGCTTTCAGTTGGTTAAGCAGAAGATGACGGAGGCCCCAGTCTTGGCACTTTCGAACTTTGAGAAGGTGTTCGAGGTAAACTGTGATGCGTCTGGAGTTGGTATTGGTGGTGTTCTGAATCAAGAAGGGTGTCCAATAGCCTTTTTAAGTGAAAAGCTAGTTCTATGCCATAGTTCAGACTCTGAAGCATTAGCATGATTACCTGGTACAGAGGGAGTTCATCCTTGTTACTGATCATGAGGCCTTGAAGTACATCAATGGTCAGCACAAGCTGAGTAGGCGACATGCAAAGTGGGTGGCGTACTTGCAGGAGTTTACTTTCACACTAAGGCATCAAGCAGGGAGTTTGAATCGAGTAGCATATGCATTGAGCAGCCGCACATTACTCCTTACCACCATGAGCACCAAGACTGTTGGATTTGAGGCATTTCCCGATATGTATGCTGCAGATCCTTCATTTGGAAAGATAATTCGGGAGGTAACCGATAATCACCGACATGATTTTGTTTTACATAATGGTTACCTATTTCGTGGATTGTAGTTATGCATTCCGGATTGTTCACTAAGGCAACAGATTATTAGTGAACTTCATAACGAAGGACATTTTGGGCAAGACAAGAGATTGGCATTGGTCTCTTTTGATTATTACTGGCCCAAGTTGAGCAGTGATGTGGCGCATTATGTAGAGTGGTGTTATGTATGTCAGCGGTCTAAAGGAGCTCTTACTAATGCTGGATTGTACACACCATTACCCGTACCTGAAGCTCCTTGGGTTGATGTCAGCATGGATCTTATCTTGGGCTTACCTCGTACAGAGCGGGCGATGGATTCCATTCTTGTTGTGGTTGACAGATTTTCAAAGGTGGCTCATTTTTTGGCTTGCCGAAAAATAATGGATGCTACTCGGATTGCACATCTTTGTTTCAGAGAGATTGTGCGTTTACATGGTGTTCTATAGTCAATTACTTCTAACTGTGACACTAAGTTTATGAGTCATTTCAGGAGGAGTTTATGGGAGAAACTTGGAACGAAGTTGAATTTTAGCAGCGCATACCATCCCCAAACAGATGGTTAGACCGAGGTGGTGAATAGGAGTTTGGGAAATCTTTTGAGAAGCTTGACAGGGACCAAACCGAAGCAGTGGGATTTGGCATTACCTCAAGCAGAGTTTGCTTATAACCGGTCAAAGAATAGAACCACTAGATTGAGTCCCTTTGAAATCGTCTATGGTCGGAACCCATCGGGGTACTTGATTTGGCTCCAATTCCACGTGTGGGTCACTTTAATAACAAAGCTGATGAGATGGCTGAACATCTTCGGGGTATCCATGAGTAGGTGAAGTTGTCCATATAGGATAGTAACACTAAGTACAAGGCTCAGGCAGATAGTCATCGGCGCCAGGTATTGTTTGATGTTGGTGATTTTGTTTGGGCAGTATTAACTAGTGATCGTTTTCCAGCTAGGGAGTACAATAAGCTAAAGGAGTGGAACATTGGACCTTGTGAAGTGCTGCAGAAGATCAATGATAATGCTTACAGGTTGCGCCTCCCTAGCCATTTGAAGACCTCTGACGTCTTCAATGTGAAACACCTAAGCCCTTGTTTTGTGGAGTCCGATGAAGCTACTGTGAACTCGAGGACAAGTTCTTTCCAACCAGGGGTGATTGATGCAGGAGGATCCGAGTCGAGTGATGCTGATTTGTCAGATAGCACGATGATGGCGCTAAGATACCATGAGATGGTGGATCAATGCAAAGATGGAAAGTGAATCGCAATTATTTCCTTGATTAGGGGAATTTGACACGTTTTTGGTAATTTGGCCATAACTTTGGCTACGATTATCAGAATCGCTATTGTGACCCCAATCCAGAAAGCTATATTCGGTGCGCACGTCGTGGCCACAAGCTATGCTCGGTGGACGTCAATTTCGAGCCCAAAATCCACTATTTTCCTTTTCGAAATTCAATTTTTAGTTTTTTTTCTATTTATGGTAATATTTCATTTCCCTTTTCCATATGTTAGAAAACTCGAATTGAGCCAAATTTTTGGCAACTTACTCCTTTTACTTAATATTTTATTCTAGTGTAATTTCGGGATTTTGCCATTTTTTTCTAATTTTCCTATAATTTCGTATTTTGCAGCTATTTAACTCGGCTTGTGGGTTAATTTGAGTCATTCTGCATTATTAATAATATTGAGTTGATTTCAGAGTATTTTCTCTGGTTTTTGAGAGTTTTTCTGTCGTTTCTTTCTTGCGAATCATCTGCTACAATAAGCCAATAGGATAATCACTATCCTACCTAGCATCACATAATGAATATGAAAGCTTATGACTTTGCTGATGCTACTCTACCTTGTAACTCTATGATTTTGGACGAATTTATGTTCTATCTTTTTTTTTTTTTTTTTACTCTAATATAGTCAGATTTATGGTGAAAGGAGTTGAATCTACTGTTCGAAATTCAAAAATTGTACGAGGTGAAACATTGGGCATGGAACAATCGTCACATTAATGTCAGGCCTTATAAATCGAAGGTAAACTTTGAATCTTAGCATTAGGGTAGCCACGGAACAATCACTAGACGTTGTGAAAATGTTTACCATTATATTTTAATATTGTTTCTCAATATTTGCTCAATTTAAAAGTTTAGAGTTATTTTACTTTCAATGTTAACCTGTTTATAATTTTAAAATTTTAAATGTTTAACATTATACCCTAATATTGCCTATTGTAAACTTTTGGAGGCTAAATATTTTATAACTTGTGGATGATTCTTGCTGAAATTGTGTTTCTGTATCATGAATTTCTCATAATTGATGACTCTGGCTGCTTTGAATGGCACTGCTACCAGTGGAAGTGGGAACCATAGTGAGAAGAAGCATCAACAACCACAGCAGCAGGGACTAAAATCGGACTAAAAAAATCACTGTAGCCGATATCTAAAATTGTGCCCGCACCGGATAAAACCCCTGGCTCTTCCCCTAAGCACACATAGCTTCATAGATGAGAGACGGCTAAGGAGCTGAACTACACCACTGAGGAAAACCAAAACCATGACAATGAGAGTGGCTAATGGTGAAAAGCTGGAGAGTAAAGCTTTGAATCAACCACTGGTTTGGAAGGTGCATAACTAGGAGTTCCAGTATAACTTGAGAACTTTGAAATAAGAGATAGTGCTATGGGATTGGGGGTGAACTGGATGACTCAGCCTCCTAAAATTTGACTTTATCCTAGGATATGTGAAGTTCAAACACCAGCAGAAAGAGGTCATCTTGAGGAGCGAAGGCTCAGAACCACAGGTTAAAATATGAAAGTTGAGCAAATGGAGAATTTGTTTAGAAGGTATCATTATGAAGTGGCTGAACATTTGTACAATATTGGGGAGAAAGGGAAAGAAGAAATTCCATGCCAAATCACTGAAGTTATTAGCCAATAGACAGAGGTATTTGAAGAACCAACAGGGTCACCATCTCCTAGATCTCATGACCATCGTATTCTGTTAAAAGAGATAGCATAACAATTCAAAATTAGGACTTTTAAATGCCTTTCTATTCAGAAAATAGAAATAGGGAGGCTAGTGGTAAAGATTGAAAATACAAATTAAATCAACAGTTAAAAGAGAACCTTTCACAGGCAAGTGCAAGAATAAAGCTTTATGCTGATAAAAAGAGACCAGAAAGGTCATTTGTTGAAGGTGATTGGGTATTCCTTAACTCCATTCATACAGGCACCAGTCAGTAGAGCACAGGCTGAACTACAAGCTGGGCACAAGGTGTGTTGGTCCTCACCAGATTATCTACAATTCAAGGCTGTCATATGAGAAATTTGAAGGCAGATTCTTCATCTACCATGACAGGGTTTTTCTCCAAAAATGTAACCAATGAAAAATTAAAAGATATAGCCGACGAGGTCAGGAGAGCGAGGAAATTATCTGAAAAGAAGAAGGGTATTTCCCTTGCTTCATCATCATGAAGATTGGCTCGTGGAATATTAGGGGCTTTAACCCGCCCCTCAAACAAAATGGGGTTAAAGAATTCATGCGACGACATGAGATTGATGTTATGGGCATCTTGGAAACAAAATTGAATGATTTTAAGTTATCCCGTATTATAAGGAATAAATTTGGTGGTCTATCCTCTGCTAACAACTTTCGCCATCATAAAGCGGGTTGTATTTTGGTTTTGTCGAATTCCTTGAAGGCTGAATTGGAAGTCTTGGACACTACGGCACAAGTTATCCATTGCTCAATTACTTGCAAGGTAACTTCACGCACCTTCCTTGTTAATTTTGTTTATGCATTCCATACTATTGTGAACTGCAGGCCTCTTTGGGATAATATTGAGGAATTTGGTCTCAATTGCACCTTGCCATGGTTGGCTTTAGGGGATTTTAACAATGTGCTCAATTTTGATGAGAAAAGTAATGGGGCGGATGTCACTCCGTATGAGATTAAAGATTTTGAAATGTGTTGCCAAAATGTTGGACTTACGGATATGCGGTCAATTGGTTGTTTCTACACTTGGAACAATAATTCTGTTTGGAGCAAAATTGATAGAGCCATGGTAAATGGAAATTGGATGCTTGAGAGTTATGACAGTTTTGCAAACTTCCTTCCATCGGGTTGCCTCTCCGACCACTCACCTTGCATTGTGTCAATTTTTGGGGAAGTTGGAAGGAAGAAAAGGCCATTTAAATTTTTTAACATGTGGACATGCCATGAGGACTTTCATGATGTGTATCAAATGGTTGGAATCAAGTTTTTTTTTGTTCTAAACAATTCTCACTTTGTAAGAAATTACAGAGTCTTAAAGGGGTGCTAAAAAAAACTCAACGACAAGTACTTTGCTCACATTTCCTCTAGGGCTGATTATGCTACTAAAAAGTTGGAACTGGCACAAGTTGAATTACATAATGATCAGATAAATCTTCAACTAAAGTCTGAGGTTGCTAGATTGAGGAAGGAGGCTACTATGCTATGTGAAGCGGAAAGGAATTTTTATTACCAACAATCAAAGTGTGTTCATTTGAAGAATAGTGATAAATGCACCAAGTATTTCCACTCTTTGGTCAAGAGAAATGCCAAGAGGAATGAAATTCCGGCAGTTATCAAGAGGGATGGTAATTACTCTACTTCCCAAGAAGAGGCGGCGACGGAATTCACTCACTTTTATAGTGAATTATTGGGACAAAGCGGGTGTGGACAGCATTTTAATGATGAAATTCTAAGTAACGGTCCTAAATTGTCGGGGGAAAATGCCATGTTGCTTGTCCGGGATTTCACGAGACAAGAGATTAAAGATGCCCTCTTTAGTATTGGGGATGACAAATCACCCGGTCCGGATGATTACACATCTTGTTTTTTTTAAAAATCATGGGATATTGTTGGAAATGATTTCTTGGAGGCAATTGAAGAATTCTTTGCAACGGGGTCTCTACTCAAGCAAACCAATCACACTATCATTGCTTTGGTACCAAAGGGTAATCAATCTACTTCTGTTGAGGATTATAGGCCAATTGCTTGTTGCAATGTTTTTTATAAAGTCATTACAAAGATCCTTGCCTCTCGGTTGAAGCCTATGCTTGATGTCATTGTTGACAAAGCACAAACTGCTTTTGTGGAGGGACGGAGTATGATTGAGAATATTCACTTGGCACAAGAGCAGGATGGAGTATGATTGAGAATATTCACTTGGCACAAGAGCTTTTGAGAAAATACAATCGCGAGAGAATTGCTCCTAGATGCCTTTTCAAAATTGACCTTAGAAAGGCCTATGATTCCATAAATTGGAATTTCCTTGAAAAAGTCATTGAAGGATTGGGGTTCCCCGCTACTTTTGTTGGTTGGATTATGGAGTGTGTGACAACTCCATCTTATTCCATTGCTCTTAATGGTAACCTTCATGGGTTTTTCAAAGGAAAGAAAGGTCTACGCCAAGGTGACCCGTTATCTCCTTACTTGTTTATTCTATGCCTTGAATACTTCTCTAGAATGGTTAATGTGGCTACAAGCGATAGTGATTTCAATTTTCATCCTAAATGTGCACCCCGAAAGATTTCACACTTGGCTTTTGCAGATGATTTGATGCTTTTTGCAAGAGGGGATGTGATGTCGGTGGATATCTTAATAAAGTGTCTTTCAACTTTTGGTGCCATGTCGGGTCTCAATATAAATGTTGGGAAATCTTGTCTCTACACAGCGGGTATTCATGGTCAAGAATTGGAGGATATCTTTGCACTTACTAATCTTCCAGTTGGTACCATGCCATTTCGGTATTTGGGCATCCCACTTGCGGCTGAAAAACAGAAAGTGAGTTCTTATGATTCTTTCACCAATAAAATTTCTACTTATATTGGTGCATGGTCGACTTCTTCTTTGTCATATGCAGGTAGAGCAGAATTTGTAAGAGCCGTTCTACAAGGAGTGGAATGTTTGTGGTTATCCATTTTCCCCATCCCGGCTACGGTTACTTCAAAGATTATTAGTCTTTGCCGAAGGTTCCTATGGGGATCCAAAAAGCCGTTGGTTGCTTGGAATCAAATTTGCCTACCTAAGCATGAGGGTGGGCTTGGTTTTAGAGATATCAAAAGTTGGAATGCCGCACTCCTTTCTAAAACTCTTTGGAACATTCATAGCAAAAAGGATTCTTTATGGATTAAATGGATAAATGAAGTACATCTTCGAGGCTCGGACATTTGGAAGTATAAAGTGAGAAAAGGTGATTCTCCACTACTTAAAAGGCTTCTGGAAATAAGAGACAGTATTGTTGAACCCCAAAATGAACTTCAAACTGGAATGGACAGATTATTCAGCTGGACAGAATCTGGGATTTTTAGCACAAAAACTGCCTATGAGTTCTTCAGACCGAAGGGAGTTAAAACTGCATGGGCTACCTCTGTTTGGGACAGTTCCATCATACCTAAACATGCCTTCATCCTATGGTTAGCTGTTCGGGGTAAACTACAGACAAAGGACAGATTATGGTATCTCCAGATCGACCGAAAGTGCCCATTCTGTGCACTCACGGATGAATCTACCCAGCACCTATTCTTTTCATGCCGATTTTGTAGAGAAGTTTGGGATCATATCCGGGATTGGTTGGCTATTCGGCGTAGCATGTCCACCTTGTTGAGCTCATTAAAATGGATGAAAAAGGAAGCTCGAGGTAAGAGTTGGCCTAGTAGAGCAAAACGTATTGCACTTGCAACAACCGTGTACTACATTTGGATGGAAAGGAATAAATGTATTTTTGAAGGTATCAAGCCGCAAGTTGAATCCATTGTTAGACGAATTAAAACATACATATACAAAGCGATGTTTACTTTGTATCCGTATGTTTTGATTCACTTCGAATCTTTACTTGCAGGGCTTTAAACCTTTGTTGGCACATCTCTTTTCATTTGCTAGCTCCCGGGTATGCCCGGAGTAATTGCATGTGTTATTGACTTTTGATTTGCCCGGGTATGCCCGGTGTACTTGTATATGGAACATTTTTTATCAATGATATTTACATTTACCGATAAAAAAAAAAAAAAAAAAGGAACCATCAGACTTAACGGACTTTTAAGTGGAAACGGTGTCGTTTGGTACTAAATGGAACTGTGTTGTTTTATTCCATTAATTGTTGTTATTTGTCAGAAATCATCTTTTACTTTTGGGCTTGGAAAGCATGACTTCATATATATATAGCCATATGTGAAGAGGCGAGACAAACTGATTTTTCTGCCAAATTGGTCGTTAATTTTAGTAATTCAATTCAGTCCTCTCCTTCTCATTCCTATTTTACATCATTTAATCCGTCCCCTATCATTTTTTACTTAGAATTTAGTATCATAAATTCCTTATTTCAGCTGGAGTAAATTCCAGTGTCGGTTTGTGCGAAGCTTTGTTTGCGAGTTGTAGTTCAGCTCGTGACAATTCTATCGTTCAAAGGCTTGATTAACAGTATTTAACAACCTCCATTAGCAAACATTGAGGCAGCTAACATTTGCTACAGCTTACTTTCACAACCGTGCGTCCTTCATACGCTAAAGCCTCCATTAGCTGCTGTTTCCACAACTGTTGGCTACTAGAGCCTCTGGTCATCATCGTTGAGGTTGTCACAGCATGTTTAAGGTCATCAAAAGATATAACTGAGGCAATCACTGGATGATCCATCTAGTCCTGTGAATGGGCCGAAGTGATTCCAATTTGATCGCCTTTACTGAGCACAACTTTTTTTAATGGAGGGACAATTTCCAATTAGGCTACAAGTTAGTCTTTTCTTTATTTGAACGACGCAAGTGCACACTTTGGCAACAAACTCAGATGCAATAAGATGTCTAGTAGACAGCAAGGAAACATTGTAGTCACATTAAGAGCTAATTTTACATTTTGTTTGTGAATTGCAAATGTGATGGCTACCATAGTCTGAATATTATGGAGAAGTTGATCAAATTCTCTTGAACTTAATCAAATTACTTGATAATCATGAAGTCCATAGGTAATTTCTCTAGCACACAGTTATTTGAAGATCTTCAAATTGGTTTCTTATGAGTTCTTTTGATTTATTTTGCCAGGATCTGTTGTGATGTATGCTAAAAGTGGTTGCATGACAAGTGCGTGAAGATTACACGAGCTAGAGCCAAGCATATTAAGTAATACAAGTGTCCTTCATGCAGTAACAAGAGAGCCAGTGCTTGATGTGAATATTATTATCTGTACCCTTGATAAAAGTCCAAGTCTTTGCTGTTAAGGTCATTTCTTGTTTGAGTATAATGTGTAGAATTAACCTATGAATATAACTCTTGTTGGGGAGTCTTGCAATTGGTATAGGATGTCTTGTTATGTCGCCTGGTTTAGTTGACTCTGTTCGTGGACCATTACATTCTCTTGTAGGAGTTTTCAGTTTTTCTTTTGATGATATCATAAGGAGCACATTTAAATCACCCATAATCCACCCTGCCCCCACCCCCACCCCACCCTTCCAAAAAATTCTCTTCTAAAATCGTTTGGAATTTACATTTTGTGTGATTGGACTGGTTCTTTTTACACCTGTCTTGCTCTTTCGGGTTAGCGTTTTGTTTTTCGAATTTGTTGGTATTGTTAAATCTCTTGCCATATGCTTTTGTCAAGTTCTTATTAGTCGGCAAGGTGAAAGAAGTGTCATGGCCACGCACTATTTTATTTTATATATTGAGTGACTTGTTGCGCACCTCAAAATAATTAGCGTTCTCAATTTTTGACGTATCTGCCTATCTATAATCAGAAACTATCTTGTTGTGTCAATAATCAGGCACAAAGATAAACGAAATGCAATCCATTCCTTTATCCATTAGTATGCTTTGTCGAATTCTTGTTGAAAATGGCATATTGTGTCTCTTTACAATTAAAAGGTCGCCCACTATTCATTTATTTTGTGTTATATTTTCTCAGATAAGTTTAATTCGTACATAAGCTTACAACATTAAAACAATAAATTTTTAAACTAATATATTGTAATGTTAGACCAGAATTAAATTAGCTTAAAATTTGGAGTAAATGGCACAAAACACCCATGACCTTTACCTCCATTGAGAAGTACCTTTCTATCCTTTCATTTTGGCACAAAACCCTCTAGATGACATTTTCTTTGTGGAATACAATATTTTCTTCTATTTTCTTTATAAAACCTTGTGAAAAAACAAACATGCCCCTACTCTTTAAATAAAACAAAAAGAAAATAAGAAAAAACAAAGAATTAATTGAAACTGTAGTCCCAATTTTTATTTTTATTTTTTTTATATGTAAACGAGTTCCAAGTAAATAACTAAGAAAATTAAATGAATGTACAAGTTAATCTTTGTATTTTATTGAAAAAATTAAATTAAATAAAGAATTTTCACTACATTTTATTTCTTTTATTTATAATATTATTGATGTATAAGTTAGTTTTATTTTCTATTAAATAGTATAAATTATATATATGTAAATCAACTCTACGACGACAATATCATCAATTATATTATGGACAATTATGAATAGTTTGATCGCTAATGATTGACGAAGAAGCCATTGATGTTTCTAACCCAACCTTCTCTCTTTTATCAAAGACTCATAAAATTAATATGACATCACGAGAAACATAAATTTGTTAAGTTTGAAATCATACATGCGTCATCCCTTTTGACCATATGAATAACCAACAAAAATACCCGGCTTGGCTTACTTATCAAATTTAAGTTGATTATTTTTATATTTAGCAAAACAAAACATTCAAAAATGCAAAGAAATGAATATGATGGAACAATTCCAAGTAGGGGTGGACAAAATGTCTAGACTAGACCAAACCAGATCAAGTGGTTCGGATCGGTTCTATAAAAAAAATTAATGGTTTTGGTTCTTTGAACTGAGAACCATTTGGTTTTGGTTTTGGTTTTGGTTCAGTTATAGTTCAAAAATCAGAACCAAAATTAGAACCAAACTTAATATTTAATTTTATATATAATAATTAGTAGAGACCCTAATTTTATATTCATTCGAGATAGCCCATTTTGTATTCGGTTGAATTATTTCTCCTTCACTCCTTTTCAATTTACACAACGTCGCAGCACATTGATACTGCATTTCATCAAGTCAGTGGAATGTCATTTAAGATCGGAAAATGAAATTGGTCAGTTACTTAAAAAGTCTCTAAACTCTTTTTTTACCTTGATTGTT